ATCTGGCAGAGTATAAAGTCTGCCCAGATGGTCGAAATCTGGATAAGGGCCTCTGAGGGTAGCTAGGCGCATGCTGTTGGCCGTAATCCATCGTGCGGCCTTCAACTACCAGTCTCACAAACAGGAATGCAGCCATAAACTTCCAGATCTTTTCTGTATTCGCACGCGAGCTACGTCATAAATTCTCTATATGCGATCAAGCGCCACCCATTCAAGCGCTTTCCCTGCTCTCAACTCCATCCTCCCCGCCAATGTACTTTCATCCTCTGCAGTGATGCATCAAGCATACACGAATCAGCCATGTTGACTTTTGTCCTGCTGACCCTCCCAAGAGAGATCCGGGATGAAGTCTATAGCCACCTTCTCCAATGCGGTGACCTCGCGATAATGCGGACTTCTCACCAAATCAACCAGGAAGCGACAGATATTCTTTACAGAAAGGCGGTCTACCGAATGTTTTTCAATTGCGACGAACGTCCCCAAAACATTCAGCTCAGTCATGTAGCTGTTGAACATATCCAACATTTGAGCCTTCAATTCCAAATGGCCAATCTCACCAACATTCGTCACGCCAACGAAATCAATACTCTCTGTTCTGACAGACGCATAATGCGAAGAACTTGCTTAGTCACTCTAAATTTTCGTGTACAAACATGTGCAGTACTGTCTCGCATCGATCTCGATGGTTTGAGAAGCTTGTCTGTGTTTCAATGTGTAGTGATACAGGCTGTAGTCAAAGAGGGAGCGGCAGTAACAGAAGATGCACTTCTTGAAAAATGCTGGAGACGCATGACTAGGATGTACGTCTCCTTGAGAGAGCAACTGGAGCCAGCTTTGGGGTTTGCAGACGAGCGCGGAGAATATCACCTCACTCGACGGCTTGTCTTCTACCCACGAACGAGGCCTTCGGCAATACCGACCACGACCCCAGTCACGCACGAGGTCTACCCTTTCTAGGCCATGTGCAATTTGGCAGTGCGGCCATCTGGTCGTGGGTGCCTTCCATTGCATGTTCCTTTGAGAAGATGTTCAAATGTTGGCAGAAAGCAACTTGGGATTACGATCTCGACAGCAACATACAGTCTAGGCTCTACTGCTGCTACTGCCTCGACAAATGTTCCTACTTCGATGGCTGTCAACCTCCGCAGTGGGGTAATATGAATGCTACTATAACATAAACTCCGCCATTCTCAAGCTATATATGAACTTAGCGTATGCTCTGACACCTGCTGGGCGATCCTTCCGCGTCTCTGCCCGGAGTCACACCAGATCACCAAGTTGGGGCGTTCGTATAGCTGGTTGGCTAGGGAGATAGCCAAAACCCCGTTCTGTGCTTCAGACAGAGTCAAGGTCCATGAATGTGAGCCCTTGCAAGCCGCAGCGTGATTGTCTTAACGCCTGTGTAATTCAAGGTCGCATGGTCCTCGAGCCCTTAAAAAAACGGGCGCAACGCCTCACATCCGCCTGCCGAGTGTCATTCCCCTCAGGCCTGCGAAACCACAGAGCGGAATTACCCCACTTCTGCGGCCTTCTTGAAGTCGCACGAGTTTTGTCGTTGATGTCTGAAACCGAAACACCGCCTCGTTGCCGTAAGCGAGGTTGTGAGGAATACCAAGCGCGTATCCGTGCATTCTTAGCCAACCATTCGAATTCAAGCCACGTGAATTGGCATGGCGATGGTCTCCTGACCCTGATGCTCACGTTGAAACGTGCCTTTGAGACATGATGAGCCACGATCAAGCAAAGCTGTTGCCTTGCACTGCTTGTTTTCCGCGTGACTAAGTACAAAAGATTGCTCCCTCACCCTTTGCCTTCCCGTCCAAAAACATTCCCCGAATCTCAAAAGCCCCTCCGAGTGACACAACCCCAAGCGCATCCGTCAAACCGAACCTCTCGCCCATCCCTGAGCCCGGTCTCCTATCCCCGTTACCCGCCCTCGCACCAAACCCTCTCCGCGAAAGCTCCCTCAATGCAAGAATCCCTCTCGGCCGACGAGAAATCAGCAGCTGTCTTTGTGTACGGCATCATCAGCATCTCGGTCGTCTACGTCCTATCCCACCTCTTGTGGACGAATCGGGCCGCGCCTACCGGTAAGCCTCCTCCCATGCTTTCAACATAGTACGAGTACACGACAGAAGACCCGAGGCTCACGATCTTCTAGACAAGGAACGTAAATGAACGCTGCGGCACCTCAGCAAGGGCCTACGACTACGGCTGGCACAGCTCGCAGGGACGTTCGCCGGGGGGTTTGTTTTTGGGTTGAGTCCTCAGCTTCGGCGTTGCGTGGACAATCTGGTGTGGCTGTGAGTCAGAAGAGGCTTTGGGATAGGGCGATTGCACGGGTTGGCGTTTGTTGCGATTTCGGTGGAAGCTATGGCGACTGGGCATGGAAAGGGTAGGGATGGGTTCAGTTCTTTGGGGGTTCGCTGTTTCATCGGCTGGGTGATAGCCTTCTACATGCGGTTGACAAGACCAGGCACGGGTTTCTTGTATGATACAGGTCGGGTACCTCCCCGCTATGCAAGTTATGTACAACGGAAACAAGCCACAATATGAACACATTATCAAGCCGCTCTCCATAAGCAGTTTACGCATCATCGTCCCACTCGTCGTCCGAGATGTCAGAAAGGTCGTCACTGTCCCACCTGTACGTTCAAGAGTCAGCACGATTTCTTTGAGACATACTCCCCGGCTTACGAGACAGTTCGGGGATGACCATGAGCCCGCTGCGTGCAAGACATGTCTTGCGACTCGAAGAACGGCAAGGACAAGCAGGGAGTCGCTCGGCGAATTGCACTTACTCATCCTCCTCATCATCGCGGGCCATCATCAAGAACCGTTGTAGACCCGGATCGCGTCCTCGAGCAGGTCGAATGGCAGGGGGTTGAGGCCTTGGCGGTCCAAATGGTACAGGTGGCGCGAGTGGTGCTAGTGGTACAAATTGTGCAGCGACTGCGGCGACTGGCACAGGAGCAGGGTCGTCATCCTCATCCTCATCATCGTCGACATCAAAAGGTAATCCATCCAGCCCACCACCGAATCCAAGTCCAAATTCCCCGTCATCGCCCCTTTCCAACTCCCACAAGCGCATGTAGCAGCCGCTTTTCACGGTGTTGTAATGTTGGTATGGATTGGCTTTGTCGAGATAAGCCCCGCAGAGATAGCAAAAGTGGGTATCGCATTTGAAGCAGATCATATGATTGCATCCATGCGTCTTCTGGGCTCGGGCATCGCATGTAGGGCACGGTTGTGTATGTAGCTTCATGTAGTCTTCAGATGCTTTTTCCTCGGCTGTCAGTTCAAATTGGGAGCGTGGGAAGCAGGTGAAGTATTCGCCGTGCCAGCTTGCTTTACAGACTTTGCAAAAAGCGAAATTGCAGTCTTCACAGATTGCGAGGCGTTCGGCCGGTGGAGGTAGCTTCTCTGGGGGGGCATTGCGGTCATAGGTCCGAGGCTCCTCGGTCTCGTCTGTGCTCTCGGTTTCTTCCCCTGGATCGGGTTTACTTTTGCTGGTACGAGCTGGTCCTTGACACCATTGGCGAGGGCAGTAGACTGTCCTTTTATCAGATTCGAGGCGTTTCTTCCTCTTCAATTTTATGTAACGTTGGACTGTATCCTGCTCTAATGGAATTTGTAAAAGCTCGCTTGGTTCAAGCGTGCTGTCCTTCGGTCCCTTCTTCGGCTGGATCTGATCGGCTGCCAGGCCTACTCTAGGTTCTTTGCCACAGTCAGGCGCGATACACTTGACGCTTCCGATATCACCTTCAATAATGCAGGTGTTGTAGTAGTCTTGGAGACACGGTACGCAAAAGACGTGCCCGCAGAGTAGAAGGCGGTGACAAACGGTTCCTTTCTTAGCATCTGTGCCCATGTTATCAGCCAATCATCCGCTAAATCCCCTTCACACGGTTTACCTAGACAAATGCCACACTCGAAGGTCTCCCGCTCGAATTTTGCCCGCTTGGCATTCAGGTCGAAATCGAGAAGCGACACTTTGAGATCAGGCGAGACTTCCAGCACTTGGTCATCAGCCTGAGCCATATCGAATCCCCTCTCCGCCGCCTCTCGCAGATGGTCAATGTACGAAAAGACCACCTGGTCCCTGCCCAACTCCTCCCATAGTGAGTGACCCGCTTCTCTGAGCTCTTGCAACTTTTGCTCCGGAAGCCACGAATACTGCGATTCCAGATAGAACACTGGCGGCTTCTCGGCCGGATATCCTTCAGGCAGGGAGAGTCGTAGGTTCAGGGCTGGCAGGTGTGATATCCGGTAAACGTCTTCGTTTGTAGGGGGAGCAACCCCATTTTCTTCAATCTCCAGCTGGGAGATCTCTTCAATAACTGAGTGTGGAGGGGTAAGCGGCCCGACTGGAGGTGCACCATCAGCGGATGGGAACCGTATCGATAAAGGTTCGACAGGTTCAACTTCGATTGAGATGGTTGCAGAAAAAGGATCTGAACCTGGTTCATCTAGCACCAACTCAGGGTATATAGCAGCCAGCGACGCTAATTCGACTGTTCGTTCATCTTCTTCCCCTTCAAGATCATCGGCCATAGTTGGGGTTTTGATTTGGAGACATGAGTCGCTTCTTGTACCCGTGCTGTTGGATGTTCAACACGGCAGACAAGTGAAGCAAGAGTAGAGACGTTGCCGAGTGACGATTCTATAATGTCTGGGCCCTTAAGTCACATTTGTGGCAAAAGTGACTCATTGTCACTCACTAATTTTCCAGAACGCCAAGAAACGGTCGCGGCACAAGCGCGCCGAGGCTAAGCGCTTGTTCAAGGCGCGTTTGCGCCCATCCTGTCCTCGAAGTTGGAAACCAAACAGAGCGTCCATGCAATTATGTTTGCTGCATCCTGGTACAATGCCAAATCATCGGGGGCCGTACGCCCATCTAATGCCACAATCGGGTTATCCAGGTTTGACTATTGTTGACCAGTAATTCGCATCACCTATATATCCCGTCATACCGTATCACCTCCAATCTTGCGGGCAAGATGGAAGCCACACCACTCGCGTCCCTATCATTGACGCACGTACACTACGTGAGTACTCTTCTCTCGCATTCTAATCCCTCCTGCCTGACTTCCACATCCCCACTCACAATCGTCCTATAGAACCCTCACGATCCCATATCTTACCTATGCGCCTGGCTCGCGCTCGCTCCTCAAACCCTCTGCGTCATCTACGTAACCCTGATATGGTCAACGCGCGAAGTGGAGATCCTCCTCATGTTCATGGGACAAATGGGCTGCGAGGCGCTCAATTTCCTGCTCAAGAGGTTGATTAAGGAGGAGAGGCCGAAACGTACGTCCAACGGAGGCACCCTCATTGCGCGCGCATTGCTGCGGCACTCTATAAAGGATTGCGTTGGAGTTAGACCACTTAAGCGTGTGGAAAAAAGACTGACACACCGGTCGGTTATAGAAATGTACGGCAAAGGCTACGGCATGCCCTCCTCGCACGCCCAATTCCTCGCTTATTTCTCCATCTCCCTCTCCCTTTTCCTCCTGATTCGGCATAACCCGCCAACGCCTCCCCAATCATCTCCGTCCAGCCAGCCCTTACCCTACAGCCACCGGCCGCTGAATCTGCTTCAGCGCTCCCTCCTCTCCGTCCTGACCATGGCGCTCGCTGCATCCGTCGCGCTCAGTCGCATTTATCTCAATTATCATACTCCAACGCAAGTCTCTGTAGGATGTGTAGCGGGTGGTGCTTGTGCGATAGCTTGGTTTGGAGCTACGGAGTGGGCGAGGCGGGAAGGGTGGGTAGATGTGGGGTTGGATAGCTGGGCAGGAAGGATGGGGAGGTGGAGAGATTTGGTTGTCGATGAGGATTTGGCTGAGAGTGGGTGGAATGTTTGGGAGGAGAGGAGGAAGAGGCGGAGAGAGCAGAGACGGGTGAACGAGGTGGGAAGGAAGAAGAGGCGATAGTTGGAGTGGCTGCATGACGGTTCCCGAGAGTCAGGGGACCAAGCCAGGAGTGTAGTGTGACGCTTTCACTTATCTGGTCTGGACTAGAGCTGACTTCAAAGCCGTGTGGGAGGTTGTATTCAACGCTCTCTTGAGGACCCAAATGCCCTGACGCGCCGGCCACATACTCTTACCTAGAAGCTTCCAATTGCCCGTTCGTCGTCTCCGTCATGGTTGTTCCTGAAATTATATCGAGCCATTCATGCGCCTATTAATCATCTCCTCATACCACAACTACGTCCCCTTCCTCGTTCGGACGAGAAATCTCGTAGCTCAAGATTGTATGATCGCAATACATCATCAGCAGTCGAAACCTTCTTGGATATTGCGCTCCTATCCTCGGACTGACTTGCGGCAGAGCTGTTTCATGTCCCTGGATGGGACCAACGGCCATACCCATCAACGGCTTCCTTGGTCTCAGCCCCTTGCCTTCTTCAGAGTTGAAAGGGAGGATACACTCGATCTTGTACCCTGATTGCTTTTGAGCCTCCCATCTTGTCATTGTCAAGATGCCCACGCGGCCTACTTGGTTTCCAATTACAACGACACCCAATTCTGGGATTTGCGCGATCATGTTGAGACGTTCCATTTGAGTTAGGTAATTGAAGCCTGGTGGCATCCTTTGATTCAATGCTTGTTGGCAGAGCACTTGGCTGTGGGATGAGTCTGGCGGGCGTCTTTTCAGGTCAGCATCGAAACGGATGTCTCGAAAAAGGTGGATATCTCTTTCATCCGTTTGGAGTAGGTTGAAAGGTAGATCGATGAAGCTCGGGCAGGTCTTAGTGTGTGTGGTGTCCGGAAACCGATCTATGTCTTTCTTGAACCTTGGAGATGGAGTCTTCAAGTCTTCTCCGGCCGCTGCGTAGACGAGTGTTAGCAAGCCAAATGAAATCGTGCTGAAGCTACAAATTACCTTCGGTCGTCTGTTGATCGGTCTGGTCTGCCGCAGGTATCTCTTCCAGGTCCGGAAGATCCGAGTCTTCATCTTCCAACATGGAATTTCCATCCGAGAGTAATTGCTCAACTTCTGCAGCTTCTAGTGTATGAACCAACAGACTGGGAGAAATTGCCCCGAATGTCGTAACATTGGCCTCTTCACCCTCATCAAGAGCATCTTCGTCGAAAGCGTCATCGATGTTATCAGTTTCGTCCATCTCCTCGTCCGCTTCATCTCCAGCTTCATCTTCACTCTCAAGATCTTGGTCTGCAATTGTGACCGCTGCACCTTGCACTGCGGTTTGGATGGCAGGAGGTACCGTTCCAACAGGTAGCATTCCCGGCACCGAGCCCAAAGCTGAGAATCCAGGATGCCATTGTGAGTTATTACGAACCACTTCTCCCGCTTCTGAATTGTCTATCAGGGTATTGCTTTCATCCACGCGGCAGGCACAGCCGAATGTATTGACAGGACCTTCGCTAATAAAGATTTTGGAGTCAGCATGCCCTTTACAGCCTTGGATTCAATTCTTTAAACACCGAGAAGCCATAATGTGGGAAAGGAACCTTATAACTAGAGAGGAATGAGTCATGGTACAAGCGCGGTCAGCCAAACCGGAGAGAAGTCCATCCAATCACAGGATGGGATGGAAGGCACGTCTGTAGAACTCCATGTCATCACATACATTCAAGTCATATATTAAGAAATGGTGAAGTGAGGGGCCAGAAGCCCATAGAATGACCTCGGATTTACTCCAAATACAAGTGTAGAGAGGTAGAAAGGGGTGAGGAAGTCGAACGACAAGGACCACGTCCGAAGTGGAACAAGAAGGGGGGGTGGTGTGAAACCCTTCCTCCACCCTCAAACTACGTCTCACAACTCCCGAACAACGTACCTAAGTCTCGAAGTTCGAGGATCCAAGCAAGCAACAGTCCAACCTCGAGCATCTGATTCTCTGAAATGAGTAAAAGTGCGACTAGCGAGAATTTTGTTTGGCTTACGAGGACCAGCACTTCCAAGAGTCTCAAGGATCCGGATACCACCCCAGATATCCCATACGATTGTACATCCGTCGATGTCTGTGCTCGCCAAGTAGCTCCCCTCAGGGTCTAGACTATTATCACAGAATGCGATATTAGGTATGTTTGTCACATGGCCTCGAAGAGTGACCTTTCTACCTAGAGACCGATCTCTCGAGGCGATTGAGTTTCTTGTCTCACAAGCCGTGTACCTTTCCATCGTTTTTGGAGGTGGACGCGTCAAACAAGAAGCCTGACTCCTGTCCGGGCTGAGAGAAGGCGCAAAGACGATAATCTCCCTCGTATTTGAACTCACTGCCAGGAGCCTAGTGCCTTTGTGCGTTGCAAGGCCCCAAGCACTGGCACCAACATTCTCATGGAACCATGCGGCCAGAACGCGAAAGCCTGGAGTCCTGTGGGGATCAGCGACAGGAAGAATGAGATTTGCCCAGCCGCTTTCTCTGTAGCGTTTGAGTTTTTGAATCTCATAGGGATCGGGTCCAATGAGAGTTTCGGCCCCTTCGTCGATTGCAAGAGATATAGAGCGCAAATTGTAAGAGATAACATCGCCGTCGTCGCAGGCGACCACAACCACTTCCTCATCACCTATCTCACCAACGATCAGGTGGTTAACAGCATGTGGTCTACTTGGGTCCAAATACCCTCTGAGACCTGGCCGACTTCTGGGAAGGTCGATGACCAATTCTGGCTTAGGGGTAATGGTTTGTTCGGGGAAGCTGGGCTTATAGACGTAGACTTTGTCGATGTAGGCAACAAATAGAAGGTTCCGGTACTGAGACAAAGCGGTCTGATCGTGAAAATAAGCTCCAGGTATGTAAACAATGGGGTTACTCAGCATACCAGGTTGTTGCGGAACATGGCAATTGGTGGGGCCTCGACATCTTCTTTGCTACTACCCGTTAGTCTCTTATACATAGGCGCGGAAAATATTGCATGCAGACAGTTGTATATATCATTCTAGTACACATTTTGCAAAGTCAAAACTCGATGAGAGCGCGTTAGACATCTTAAAGCTGGAAAGAAAGTCATTGACTATGGAACAGACTCGAAGGTTTAATACACTAGGACGCGGATGGCGAGGTGGGCATATGCTCAAACTCGGACGGCTGAGACGAGCTCCAAAAGTCATTGAAAGAAGGTCCAAGACATACTCAGGATACTAAAAGACTGTCGTTAGCACCAGTGAACAATCGAGTACAAGATTTATACTAACCCTGACCTTGCCATCTTGATGTGAGCAAGGTAATACTCTCAACGGAAGCGATTTCTTCTCGGAGGCCATCTCGGCATGCCTCGACCTCCGTTAGTATATAAAGCCATGAAATTGTTGATGTTCAGGTGTCGTTGCCATCAATTAATGAGGCTTGCTGGAAGACAGCCCCACAGCGAAAGGAATCTCAGCATTTCACCTTGATTACCCGGCGCAAGACCTCGTCACTGCCGAGGCCGCCCTCAAAACCCCCCATTGGCGCCATCGTATTTTCATTGTCATATCAACGATATTTCCTGTGAGACCCACCTTAGCTGTCATTGTCCTGGCTTGCCTCAGATCCATCCTCACTAAGAATCCCACCGCCACTATGACGGTTAATTCTGAACAGCGCAACATTGTCATCATTGGTTCGCCACCCTCAACATTACCGTCATCAAATCGCATTGGTACTGATACTGGCATCCATATGCAGGCGGTGGGATCATTGGATGCACATCGGCTTACTTCCTGACCCGCCATCCATCCTATGATCCATCGAAACACAAGATTACACTCCTCGAAGCATCCAAGATCGCAGGAGGCGCATCCGGCAAGGCCGGCGGGCTACTGGCACTCTGGGCATACCCGAGCAGTCTTGTCCCTCTGAGCTACAGGCTACACGAAGAGTTGGCAGCATCTCACAGCGGGGCAGAAAGATGGGGATATAGAAAGATGCACTCCGGGTCGCTTACTGCGAAGGGGCGGACAATTGGACAGCAGTCTGCCGCGAATGGAAACCATGCCAGTGGCGACTCAGTGTCATTGCAAAAACTCAAGGACAAAGTATCCCGGACATTGGCAGCGGCTGGCATACCTAAGGATTTGGGTTGGGTGGCGGCAGACAGCGCGAGGAGCTACTACGAGATGGGAACACCGGACAATACAGCTCAGGTCCATCCGTATCAGTTTACAACAGCTATGGCTCAACTGGCCGAGGACGCAGGTGCCGAGTTCATTCTCGGCTCTGTGACAAGTATTGACAGAACTGGTGGCGCCGTTAAGTCCGTGACCTATAACGACAAAGCAACTTCAGAACCACACACCATAGCAGCTACAGATGTTATCATTTGTGCCGGTCCTTGGACGAGGAGTATCTATCCACCAGCTCCCATATCAGCCTTGCGAGCCCACAGCGTAACGATCCGACCATCGAAACCCATTTCCGCATATGCGCTGTTCACAGAAATCAGCCTGCCACCTAATTTTGGACGGACCGACACATTCCAGAAATCGAACCGGGCGCACTCGAAACAAGTGACCCCAGAGATCTATGCCCGCCCCAACAATGAAGCATACGCCTGTGGGGAGGGAGACACCATGGTTCCCTTACCCAAGACGACCCAGGACGTGGTGACCGATGACTCGCGCTGCCAAGACATTATCGACTACGTGTCCTCCATATCAGACGAGCTTCGAGATGGTGAAGTGACGGCCAGACAGGCATGTTACCTACCGAACGTCCAGGCTGCAAGTGGTGGCCCTTTGATTGGCGAGACTGGTGTAAAGGGGCTCCTGATGGCTGCCGGGCATTCCTGCTGGGGCATCCAGAATGGACCAGGGACTGGCAAGTTGATATCGGAGTTTGTGTTTGATGGCAAAGCGAAGAGCGCTAGTATTGGTAGCCTCGACCCAAGGAAGGTCTTGTAAATGCAACATGCAAATGCTGCGGGTGAAGGCCTCCCAATAATTGAATATTCCCCACTATTTGCCAACATATGAGCCAAGCAGGCCCTAACCAGCAAATCCGCTGCGTCAAATTTGAGCCGAAAGGATCTGAGCCCGGAAGTCCTACAAAAGCCCCAATATACCAAATGGACCGCATCTTCTCTTAGTGAAATCTACCACACTACCGCACCCATTTTCTCTTCGTTAAATCTTCTTTATTTCAGATCATACTAGACTCCCGAATCCATGGCATAGAGGTGCATTATGACATGTGGGCGACTCGGATGAATGGTAGCAAAAGGCTATACTGTAATGGGATCAACCTACAGGGTACTAAGTTAGAAGTAAAGGTGAATGTTCACGTGGGAGGAAGATTCATGAGTGTTGAGGCATTGAAGGAATCACGAAAGAACGTGTTATTTGAACAATTTGAGAGCCACACGAAGAAGGACTTGTGGCATGCATCTACAGGTTCATTGGTTATTGCCATGGAGAGGAAATTGGAGAGTCATGGGCCCTGCGTGCCCGCATCTCAGGAGTCTCAGGCTATGGATTTGGGAATGTGAAAACAACATGGAATTGCAGCACGGTAATTGGGCACTGGAGCTACCACATGAATACTGCTGGTCAATATATAGAGTATATACGATTTTTAAATATAAGAGAAGCTATATAAGAATAAATTATATTTATTAGTATTAATTTATACGTAGTAGTATAGAATAGTACTTTATACTAAGAATACTAAGATTAATAATTACTAGCTTTCTAAGCCTTATTCCTTTAAGTATTAAATACTATAATATTTTTAAATCTATATCTTACTATTTATTACGCTTAATTCTAAAGGAAAGTCGTTATAGTATTAGTATATACTATCGAAGAGTATATATATGATAGAAATTGTAACTACTAATTTAGATTTAGGCTTAGTCGTTCAACTCTTATTTCGTTCAAGTATAAAAAGCGCTTCTAGATCTTCAAACGTTGCGACAAATCTTACGAATGAAAGCGATATATTATTGATATAGATGCTCATGAAGGTAGTGACTGGGGAAGCGCCTTACATCCGCATGAAAAAAGCGTTAGACGCTTCAGAATACTTAGTCTGTGGCCGTATGCAAAGGGAGTGTTTTTATAAGGTAAAATATTGTCCAATACAAAAGATCAATCTACTTGTCTCGTGTAGGACCGATAACACACAATGGGATGGGAAGCGCTTTCCTAGGCACAAAATGAATCATAACGATCTCTACACATTGTTCAACATTTGAGGCAGTGTAGTTGTAGAATTCATGCGGCTTTTCGAGCAAAATATCGTAGCCTTGGATCGCGGGAAACTCGTCATCGCCCCGCAACCGCCCCTCCAAAGAACAAGGAAGCATCGTCTTCGACCCACGACTCACTCTCTAGATGCTGAACTAAAGATACGGTCTTTATACCCGATCATCCAAGCCTTGTAACTCCAAGGACCAGCCTTCTTGCCGAGGTTCAAAGCAACCCTCCCCGAATGACTCAAGGCAGGTGACGATGGCGGACCCAGCCGCGAAACTTACCCCCCCTGCCTCTCCTACAGCCTCGTTCTACGACTTGAGCGACGATGAAGAAGGAGAATACAACACGATCATGCATAGCAGCTCTGGTCGCGGCGTGAAGCTATTGTTCTCCAAAAGCAAGGTATGCCCGAACCCGAACACCTACGGAGCGTGCAAAGACTGACAACTGGCGTGCTAGGTCTATGTACATCCAACACCCTCATCCAAAGACAACATCCCCGGCTTCATAGCGCTCATACAGCAGAAAAATCCCACCTCCGACGCGCGACCTAGGACTAGCTCCTCCAGCTCCTCGAAAGCAGACCGTGCTACATCATACCTATTAGCCTGGCTACCAGAATCCTCATTAGGAGATGCCTTGGACTCTTATGTCAAAGTTGAACTTTCTGACGCCTCTTCCCCACCAAAGAACACACCCCTTGTGCCCCAGCCACCTACATCCACATCTCACACCACACCAATAGGCACGTACGCCTTCGCCGTTCCAGTTAGCGAGATCTACTCACTCCTCATAAGACCGCCCAGTCTTGGCTGGTGGTTTGGTAGTGTCGTTATCAACACCCGAGCAGGCAACAGCTTCCCCCCCCTTTTCTTCCACGACGACGAATGCCAGTCGACCATATTACAGAAGAAGAAGCTGGTGAGGGAGAACTTTGATCCATTCAGTGAAGATGGAGGCGCATTCTGGGGAGGCGATGAGGTCTTGCGGTGGCTGAAGAGATATGTGGTCGTTGAGAAATCTGGCGCAGATCCTTCCGTATACCTCATTGAACCAAGTGCGGAGGACAAGCTTGGGTTCAGTGGAAAAACATCGACGCCAAATAGTCCAAAACTGGGCAGCAAGGCTGTCGGTCCTATGAGCATACAGGGACCCATTGCAGCGTCGAGCAGTAATCGGGACGCAGGAATGGATCCAGTCACAAAGGCGCTGAAGCAGGCTAGGTGGAGCTTTCTGGAGAAGATGAGTCAGGTCACAAATTTCACGAGGAGGACTGCGCAGGATATTGTGGAGAATCCTAAGGTGCCACCGCAGGTCAGGCGACTGATGAAGAACCCTGAGGTGCAGACTCTGCAGGATGAGTTTGACAGCGCGAGGGTCTATCTTGCAAGGTGGGCTATGGGGATTGCGGAACAGAGTGAAAGGGAAAGGAGCCAAAGGATCTTTACGGCGCAGGATGTACTCGAGATGGAGGACAGTGATGTGGGAGAGTTCGAGATCCTGGATATGGAGGCCAACAATCTCTCGTTGGCCGAGAAGAGGAAGCCTCTCTCAATGAAAGAATGGAGGAGCTTCTTTGACACGAAAGTTGGTCGGCTGCAAGTCACCGTCGATGAAGTGAAGGAGAGGATCTTCCTTGGCGGTCTTAATCCGAGCGATGGCGTACGGAAAGAAGCATGGCTCTTCTTGCTTGGGGTCTATGACTGGGACAGCACAGCAGATGAGAGGAAAGCGATGATTAACAGCAAAAGAGACGAGTTCGTCAGGCTGAAAGGGGCGTGGTGGGAGCGGATGGTGGACGGCAGCGGCAATGCCGAGGAGACTGAGTGGTGGAAAGAGCAGAAGGGCAGGATAGGTAGATACTCCCTCTTCAATTGGATCGTTTCAAGAGCAACCGGCTGACACATCCCATTGCTGGGGATCTCCCATATAGAGAAAGATGTCCATCGCACGGATCGTCAGATTCCTCTCTTCGAGGGCGAAGACATACCTCATCCTGATCCTGACTCACCATTTGCAGAGGTCGGCACCAACGTTCATCTTGAGCAGATGAAAGATATGCTCCTCACCTATAATGAGTACAATCGTGACCTTGGCTATGTCCAGGGTATGAGCGATCTTCTGGCTCCTATCTACGCCGTTGAGCAAGACGATGCTGTAGCCTTCTGGGGATTCGTTGGTTTCATGGACCGGATGGTATGTCTCATACCCTCCATATCCAGGTTGATGCAGCCAGCTAACGCGTCTCTAGGAGCGCAATTTCCTCCGCGACCAATCCGGCATGCGCACCCAACTCCTCACCCTCGACCACCTCGTTCAACTCATGGACCCAACCCTCTACCTCCACCTCCAATCCGCTGACTCTACCAACTTCTTTTTCTTCTTCCGAATGCTACTCGTCTGGTACAAGCGTGAGTTTGAATGGGCCGACGTTCTCCGGTTATGGGAGTCCTTATGGACGGATTATATGAGTAGTAATTTCCATCTATTTATTGCGTTGGCGATATTGGAGAAGCATCGAGATGTCATCATGGAGCATTTGAAGCATTTTGACGAGGTGCTGAAATACGGTATGTTTCATTCTTCTGGTGTCGGGGTACTAAACATATGGCGGGAACCTAACGAATTGTTTGATAGTCAACGAACTGTCAAACACAATCGACCTATCCTCCACCCTCCTCCGCGCCCAAGCCCTCTTCCGCCGCTTTCAACGCACGGTCGAAGCAGTCGACAAGCGGAATAACTTCCCCACTCCTAGTGTCCGCCAGCGCAAGCCAGCTGATAAGCCATCCCCAGCAAAACCCAGCAACTCTGGCTCCACATCAGCAATTGACGGGCGAAGACAGCCTCGTAGTAGCGCAGGGATCGATGGGGGAGAAGAAGGTAAGGGAAAGACTAGGGAGAAAGTCATCAGTCCGGAATTAAGGCAGTTGCTGAGTAGGAAGGTGGAGGTACTGGATAAAAACGGGGTGAAGGAGCATGGAGGCGGTGTTGGAGCATGACAGCAGGATAGCAATGCGTTTTGGGACTGTCTCCTAGCATGCGTGATGTTCCTCCCGCTGGGCCTTATAACGCAGCGAGAATTATTATGAGATGTAATACATACTCATACCCATTCACCCATGAAGAGAGATGGATGAGGTTTCTAGTCCGGTGCGAGCCAAACGATCCAAACGAGCTACGCGATACTACCTGTCTAGATTCAGTCTACCTTAGTCTGACCTGTATTAATTACCCGCCAGCCTTTATGGATGATCCTTGTTACGTGCCGCAGTACTAATCTCCTGCGACCGACGACCACACTGTGCGATGGCTGTAGAAACGTTAGATCTACGCGTCTGCACCCCATTGTCTACTTCCTTGGCTTCTTTCGCATTTCTTTCCTTGGAGCATCCTCCTCCTCCTCCTCCTCCTCCTCCCGTCTCTTCTTTCTCTCATCCGCGAACCTTTCAATAGCCTTCTCCAGCTTCTCCTTGTTATCTTATCCCCTCGCATTCAAACCATTTTCCCATCGCCGCCTTCTGCCCTAGAACAACTCGTTTTACTTTTTCTGTTGTAGTCTGATGTCCCGGGTCTCATCGTAGCGGGTTCTGTTCGCCGGCTCGGAGAGCAGATCGTATCTGATTTGCGCGAGACAGAAATCTGTTTTCGTTGTGGTCATTGCGACTTTGTTTGGAGTGTTCTCGAGGACTGTTTCTCGTCTTGCACGGTTGAAGCCTATTTGGTGGGGGTCTGGAGGTGACTTTGAGGAGGGTGTAGAAATCGGTGGTGTAATCGTTGAGGTCTTGGGAGGGCGTACTCGTACTGGTATGCAGAGATCTGTTTGAGGCCAAAGTTATAGGAGAAATTGTATTGCGACGTGAGGTTGCCTGTTCGAAGATGGTATCAATTGGAAACTTCAGCCTTATGAGATCAGGTCTTGGCTTCGACTTCTCTTTCTTCCAACTCTACAGACAACGTTCCTGTTAAAAAAAGATCTTCTGAACAGCTCAGACCCTGATGGTTTCCATTCTTTTATCAACCTTAGATTGTGGTGTGCTGATGGTGTTTTCTGGGTGCTTACGCTTGTCCTCCATTGGTGGAAGCCGGCGATCAATATGCAGGTTGCTGTCAGACCGAGGGTCGGGTGGGAAGTGGACGGGAGTGGACGAGGCTGGTGAGGCTCGGACTTCCTGGGATCTCCCACCATCTTCTTCACTTCCATGTTCAAAATTGTTCTCAGCACAAGCAGCCCTCTGACTTCAGAAGAGCCGTTTTTCCGTCCCTTATGAACTCCCTTATGAACTCTGCTGCGATCATACCAGGCTGAGAATAGACATGGATCCACTCAGTATTTCAGCTAGCATCATTGCCTTGCTCCAATTATCCAGCACAATCATCGGGTACCTCAGCGATGTCAAAGGCGGGCCCAAAGAATTACAAAAAATTCGGCTTGAAATATGCAGTGTCCTCCCCATGTTAAGCATTCTTCAAGACCAGGCGGAGCAAGCAAAAGCCGGCGGTCTCTGGTCTTCTACTTTGTTGTCTCTCGACGGGCCGAATGGGCCGATTCAGCAATTCCGAGAAGCGTTAGAACAGTTGAGACTCAGATTAGTCCCTGTTGAGGGTTGGAAAAAGGTCGGCAAGGCCTTCACTTGGCCATTCGAAAAGGACGAAATACAGAGGATTTTAAGCACTGTTGAGCGACGAAAGCTACTCTTCACTCTCGCTCGTCAGAACGATCACATTGCCTTGTCAAAGGCCATCAAGGGCGATGTGAGGGACGTACACGAAAGGGTCAACGAGATCGGAGAAGGAGTGGCTCAATCGCAACTTAGCGAAAAGCACCACAAGATTCGCCTGTGGTTGTCCGGACTCGATCCATCGTCGAATTACAATAGGGCGCTTAGAAAGCGTCTTCAGGGGACAGGTAGCTGGCTTATCAAAAATGATGTCTTTCGTGGCTGGAAGCAAGATCCAGGCCCGGGCTCAATCATCTGGCTCTACGGCATTCCTGGATGCGGGAAAACAATTCTCTCCTCGACAATACTGGAACATGTCCTTGACAGCTACCCCCCGACATCCAATACCGCTGTGCTATATTTCTTTTTTGACTTCAACGATGTCAACAAGCAACAGCATGAGGCCATGATACGCTCCTTACTCAGTCAACTATCCATGCACTGCGTTAGTGTACCACCAGTATTGGACACACTGTATTCTTCATGTATGAATGGTGGACGAAGACCGACCTTCGAGGCACTCCTAGAAACATTCCATCAAATGGCAATCATCTTTACAACCACCTTCATTATTCTTGACGCTCTTGATGAATGTGAAGAAAGGCCGGAACTCATGGCGGACATCGAGCAATTGGTTGGCTGGAAAGACACAAACTTGCGAATTCTAGCAACAAGCCGGAGAGAAAAGGATATAGAGGACTCAATCTTGCCTCTAACAAAGGATGAAAGTAGAATATGTATGCAGAGCGCACTTGTCAATGCCGACATTCGCGCATACGTACATGACCAACTTCGAACAAATACGAAATTGCAAAGATGGCAAAAGGAGCCGAAAGTGCAAACGGAAATCGAGGACACGTTAATGAAGAAAGTTGATGGAATGTAAGCGGAAATAATATCTCTCAAATCTGCACCCGAGGATCATCCGCTGATGTCGAAAGGTTCCGCTGGGTAGCATGCCAGATTGATTCATTGGGGAGCTGTCTCACCATTCCCATGCTTCGCAAGGCTTTAGCAACTTTGCCAAGGACGTTGAACGATACCTACGCTCGTATTCTTTGCAACATCGATGAAGACTATCAGCAATACGCCTTGCATATTCTGCAGTGGTTGGCTTTCTCTGCGCGGCCAATGCATCTCAAAGAAATTTGCGAAGTTGTTGCCATTGACGTCAACGAAAACCCCCAATTTGATCCCCAAAGGCGGCTTCGGGATCCACAAGACGTAGTAGAAATATGCTCTAGTTTAATCACAGTGACACATAGGTCATCAGGCAGTACCGAACTTGACCAGAAATCCCCGGAATACTACGGTTGCTTTATTATACTAGCCCACTTCTCTGTCAAAGAGTATCTAACCTCAGACATCATTCGTCAAGGACAGGCTGTCCAATACAGTCTTCAGGAGATAGACTGCCATGTGTCTTTAGCCAAAGACTGCCTTGCATACCTCCTTCATTTCGATGAAGTAAGCGCTCTACCATCTGGAGTCTTCATAGAGTATCCGCTTGCTCTATATGTAGCGAAAAATTGGACCAAACATGCTCGAGTGGCCGAGAAAAGAGATCACACACTTTGTCAAGACTTTTTCCTAACAAAGGGAGAAGCTTTCAACAACTGGATCCGACTAAAATTATTCCATTTGACGACGCCGGCAGAAATGCTTCCTTCTCGGCTGAATTACGCAGCGTCAGCTGGACTATGCGAGTCAGTGAGACTGCACCTTGATAAGGGAGCTGATATCAACGCTAAAGGCGGGCCGTACGACTATACCTTAAGGGGGGCCTCGCGGGGAGAATGTCCTGAGATGGTACGATTCCTCCTAGAGAAAGACGTTCACGTGACCATCCCATATTCCTGGCACGGTAATGCCCTACAGATAGCCTCGTCTCGTGGCCATATAGAGATGGTGCAAATGCTCCTCGAAAAAGGAGCTGACGCTAACGCTCAAGGTGGAAAGGATGGAAGTGCTTTGTTTGAAGCCTCATATTCGGGCCATGTTGAGATAGTGCAAATGCTCCTTAAGGAGGGGGCTGACGTCAATGCACGAGGCGAAATTCGGTTTCTCTCTGGTACTGCACTGGAAGCGGCAGTTGAGACCCACAACGAAGAGGTAGCGCGGCTTCTCATTGAGAACGGAGCAGATGTCAATAGGGTGGACGGTCCAGGCAGGGATCCACTTGAACTTGCTCCTTATAAAGGGTTCCACAGATTAGTGGAGCTTATACTTGACAAGGATGTCGTTGTTGAAGTCCAGAGTGAGAGATATAGCCGAGCACTGGCAGAGGCTTCGAGAGGACGCCAACAAGAAATGGTCCAGATACTGCTCGACAACGGTACCATCATCAACGCTCAAGCGATGGAAGCCGCGCTATATGAAGAAAGCGCAAATAGCCTGCAGATGCTACTTGATCCCGGAAGTGATAGGATTGACAGGGTAGAGCTTGCTGCCATCATGCATCTGCTCAAAATGACGTCGCAAAACTTGAATTGCTCCTCAAGTTTAAGTCAAATCTGACTGTGAGTGATAAGCAAGGGCGAACTTGCCTTCATCACGCAGCCACTGGAAAGAAAGGCAATTCAAGTGCAGTCCCCTGGCTTCTGAAAGAAGGTCATGATCCAAATCTTCCAGATCGAGATGGTTGGACACCTCTGCATTGGGCCGCCAAAACCGGAAATGCGGAGACAATTGCGATTTTGGAACACGCCGGTGCTAAATTCAGTATTGAATTCATTATGGGCTGGACACCCGATGATGTGGCTGTGTTCCATGACCACAAGATATCTTGGAAGACCAAGACTGCTTTGGGTTGCGGTGTCCAAACATCAGAACCCACACAAGAAGAAGACAAAAGTACCGCAAGCCTCAAAGCAGACGCAAGAGATGTGGGGAGGCAGGCTTTTCCTAACATATCTCAAATACTTGAACGTTGTTGTGGCTGCAACTTGGTGAGTTGATCTTTAGGTGCGCTGATGACCATTTGTACTGATAATGACAGAAATACTGTGGACTAAAGCACAAATGCATGACCTGCCGAGATTCTGGAGAGCTCTTCAACTACTGCTTCAAGTGCAAGCAGTCATCAAAAGATACCCATCCCGGTCATATTTTCATCGAATCTCCTGCTATTGAACTTATGGCGTAGGTCTAGAGTAGCACAGATGCTTGAGATATCGGGGCGCTTGTTCTTCATAGTTACGCATCTGCTAGCAACATTTCTGCACCTGTTTAGTTCTCCCGCCAGATGTATACTCCCAGTCACTCTTGAGGCTAGATCCTTGAACTCACAACGCCAAACATGCAGCCATATCCATCCACCGTCCGCCTTCTCGTCAACTCTGATAATGAGACTGCGACCCTACCCCCTCCCCTCCCCCCCAACTTCTCCCTAACGTCATCATCCCCCCCCCCTCTCTCCCTTCACAACCATCCACACACTCCCCAACCGCCTCAGCAGCCACATTCGCGACATCCAACAGATCAAAAGTCTCCACGCTCTTCGCATGAGTGAGCTGGAACTCCACATCGCACGTTCCATTGCCCCAGTGCTCGATTCCAGACCGCCAGCAAACTGACCGCCTATCACAACTAAACCTTTCGCGCAAAGTGTAGGATCCTACGATGTCAAAAGGAATATCCGAACAATCTCATTACAACATCGTATCTCCCATTCAAGATCGTAAAAAGGGAGGGGGTTTTGAAGCAGAAATCTGTAAGTTTGTCCTCGCTTCCATCGCTTTTAGCGTGTGCAGAAAACGTTGGAATACTTGGCACTGAGAAAATCACACACACACCACCAAAAGTAGTACTGAATAGATGAATCTTCTCCCATATCGCATTCTACCACCTTCCTCATCATATTTGAAGCTCCTGTATATCTCGCTTAGCCGATCCTTGGTGTTTTGCCTTAGTGTTTCGAAATGCCTCCCAATCGACGCAGTCAGGGGTCCCCCCCCCAACTACCGACCTCCCCTCCGGCCAGACAGTCCAAGAGGCCTAAGAAGGCGTCCTCCCGTGCCCAAGCGATTGCTGAGGATAGCCAGCCGGGCCCTAGTAACAGTCAGCCAAGCGCAGCTCACCCCCCCCTCGTGCCAAAGCCGATCGACGAGTTACACCTCACTGCGGTGTCTTTCCAGCCCATCGTAGTGTTATTGTCATGGATAATGCCAGTATAGACTGTAAGCCTCGTATCGAGGAGGTAATCCGTCAGCATGGTTGCGAGGTCCGATATCTACCTCCCTACTCACCAGATTTCAATCCCATCGAGCTCTCTTTCAGCGTCTTAAAGACATAGGTTCGAAGACACTTTCACGAGGTATGGCCTTAGTTTCAAAAGAACTTTGATAACTTCTTACGATATGCCGTGAGGAGTCGGTACGATCGCTTTCCGAGGGAGTATTTCAAGCATAGTGCTATGGGAGGCTATATCTTTGAGGCGGATATGAGGGAGTTAAATAGGGCTCTTAATGAGTGCGATATTCAGATAGATTTTAAAGACTAAACTATATTTACTATTGCTACTACTGCCCAGAGTTATTAAGGTCTTCGCCTATCGCTATTAAGGCTTAAATATCTTTAAGTCTACTTTAAAGCCTCTGGCTAAAGTATCAAGAACCCCCAATTGTATAGCAACACGATATATAGTGGAGGAAGGTGGTAGAATGCGATATGGGAGAAGATTCATCTATTCAGTACTACTTTTGGTGGTGTGTGTGTGATTTTCTCAGTGCCAAGTATTCCAACGTTTTCTGCACACGCTAATTCCCCTCTCCAGATCCCACAAGACTGACCTCAACCCCCAAAAGTAAAAGTAGTATGATGTACACTGAACGCAATCCCCACAAACCCTCTCCTCCAACTCCTCGGTGCGAGCCATGCGAACCGAGCGAGCGAGGCATTCGCCTTCATCCTCGCTTCCATCGCTTCCCCTCTCCAGATCCCACAAGACTGACCTCCATTCCCAAAAGTAGTAACAGTATATACGGCCCCCCGGACGAAATCCCCACAACCCCTCTCCCCCAACTCCTCGGTGCGAGCCACACGAGCAAGGCGTTCGTGTTCATCTTCGCTTGAATCGCTTACGGAATGAGTACTCGTACCACACCTGTGACCGAAATTGCACGCCCTGTTTTAGGTAATTGACGAAAAGAACAGGAACGACAGGTCGGGTATGAAACGCGCCGTCCATTTCGCTGAAGCAATGATGCTGAAGTGGGGAAAAGAGGTGGGCGGTCGGTAGGGTCGCTTGGCTCGTCAACGGAGTGGGTGAGGTGGGGTAGGTAATGCATGCAGGCATGCATGCAGGATGACGTAGATAGCTACGGAGGGCAAGGAGGGGGAATTTTTTCGAAGGCTTAGATGGGCGATGTTTGGATTCGTTGCGGGGGAGGATTGAGTGTGGTTTATGGATGGTGCTGATGCGTTGGAAGGTTAAAGGGTAATCTGTCTAGGGAGAGCTTCGCAACTTGCATACAAGAAAGCTCCCCCAAAAAGCTGAAAAGAAAGAAAGACGACCCTCCCAGCGCCCTCGTCCGGCCAATCAAGTCGACCTGAGACATCCGAACCACTCCGCATCATGGAGCCTGAAATACCGAACGCGGAAGCGCTCACCCCAGAGCTTTCCAAGCCCTCCATGGCACGACTGTCAAACCGGGGTGTCGCGAACATGGTCCCCGACGCCATCAAAGCCATCATGAAAGCCGGTTCCTCGAACCCTCACCACCCACAGCACAATGCGGACGGGATCGTCTCCCTCGGCGTCGCCGAAAACCGCCTCCTGCATGCAGGAATCGCGCAGCATGTCAGTTCCCACATGCATGTCTCGCAGCGGATGCTTACGTACGGAGATGGCTCGGTCGGATCGGATGTCTTGAGGCAGGCCATTGCGGACTTTATCAACGACCGTTTTCAGCCTGTGGAGCCGCTTGGGTACAGTTCTGTTACGGTACTGAATGGCGTATCCGCAGTTCTTGACAGCCTGGCTTGGTGTATCTGTGATGAGGGAGATAGTATCTTGATTGGAAAACCGTTTTACGTGGGGTTCGTGAGCGACTTTATGAATCGAGCGAAAGTCGATCTCGTCGCTGTGACGTTCGGCGAGGTGGATCCGATGAGCCTTGCAGCTGTTGCGCATTACGAGAGGGCCATGAAAGAAGCTGTAACGCGAGGAAAGAAGCTTAAAGCGCTCGTCCTGTGCAGTCCGCATAATCCTCTCGGTCGGTGCTATACACCAGAGGTACTCGAGGCGTATCTGAGGTTATGCTCGAAGTACTGGATTCATATGATAAGTGACGAGGTCTACGCTATGTCCGTCTTTCCGAATGGAGACATTCCCAACCCTGTTCCGTTCCGATCGGTGCTCTCTCTTGAGTACAGGAAATTGATTGATCCGTCATTGCTGCACGTGCTGTATGGCATGAGCAAAGACTTCTGCGCGAATGGCCTAAGGATTGGCGCTTTCATTTCAACAACAAATCCAGAACTGCACGCAGCCATGCGCGCCATTTCGAAGTTCGCCTGGTCGTCCTCTCTAGCAGACTTGGCTTGGTCGAGCATCCTGTCCGACGGAACGTTCTTGCAGGAGTATCTCATCAAAATCACTGCTCGGCTCACGGAAGCGTACAATCTATGCACATCGATATTGCGCGGAATGAACGTGCCATATCTACCTGCAAACAGTGGACCTTTCCTCTGGATCAACCTCTCTGGTTTCCTAGAACATAAGACTATAGAATCCGAGCGCGACCTTGCATGGCAGATGATCAAGGCGGGTGTATGGCTGGCCACTGGGGAGGCGTACCGGTCTGAGGAGCCCGGATGGTTCAGGTTGACTTTTGCGGTGTCGGAAACGGAGATACGAATGGGTTTGGAGAGGTATGTGGAGCAACTCGTAGGGTACGGAGGTATCGCCTCTTGGCTGATATGGAGACTACAGACTTGCGCTTGCTCTGGAACAGGCCAACACTGCAACAGCCTGAAGCCGGACATGAGGGAGCCTCTTGGGGCCCGGGACCCCGAGTCTGATTAAACTCGAAGGAGGGCGAGCTCGATGGAGTCGGAAACCTTCGGTATCAAGCCTTGACCGGGCGCTTGATCAATCATCGTTAATCATCAACGTTATGTCGAAATTGTGTCACAATTGAGCCTGTCACAGAAACCGGCGCTGCTGAAGTCTGCGGATACCAGCCTGCTGGCTCCAGGGATACAATGCTGCAGTCTGTGGGGCCAGGTATTCATCGTAGATCCAAAGATACGCGATGCCTCAATGGAGATGTAGAATGGACCGGCTTCATTCATCCTGACGACGTCGGTGAAGGCGAATCCTCCAAATAAAGCAGAGAATGCCATCCACTCTCCACCTTCTGGCGCCAAGGAACCCTAGTATTGACGTCCTTATACGCCTCGCACTCATAATCAATATCTTCCTCTGTCCGATCACCCCTGCTATCTTGCACCCACGTCGCTCTTGCTACGATCCTGAAATCATCTTTCGCATACTCGTGTAGATATACAGCTTCCAGAAGAGGGGAGTCTGCGCCAACTGTGACGAGCAAGGGCACCATATCGAAGTGGCCCACACCGTTAGGGAAGCTGGCCTGGAAATGAACTTTCACTTGCGACATGATGTCCAACACATTTGCGAAGGTGTGCCCTGGGTATAATCCTTGCGGGCCAATTTGTTTCAGCTTCGTGATGGTCCATCGTCGCCATGTTTCAGGGATAGCTCGCCGGCCGCCCCAGTAGAGTAGAGGTAACAACGCATGATCGACGAGCTTCCTAGGGTGGGTGTTCTCACGGTTGGGCGGAGGATACAAGGACTCCGCTATACGGAGGTTTGCATAGACATAGTAGCACATTGCGGACTTGTAACGCACGGGATCGACTTCCGCGTGGTAGAGGAGCGAGGAAGTGCAGGCCATATAGGTGTTGTATGTGGCAACGTTCATAGCTGCCACGGAAGATTTGAAGTGGAGAGGTGCAGGCGGCAAAGGAAACTGTTCATCCGCCCGAGGGGATCCATTCAAAAGTTCTGATGGTGGAACTGAAGGTGGCGATGGCGTATCGTCGGAGGAGACAAAGGACGAGAAGGTTTTTGTTGATCGAGCCTTCCACGCCCTCAGGTCCTCCTGAAACTGCAAGATCCTG